TTAGATATATAAATACACAATATCTAACGTAAGCATAGAACTTAGAAGCTACATAAAGATGCCTGTTTCTATAACGTTATTTTAGATATATAAATACATAATATCTAACGTAAGCATAGAAGCCCTCTCTCTCTCTCTCTCTCTCTCTCTCTCTTATTCGTAACGATGTCTTTCTATAAGGTAATTTTTGACATAAAAATACATAATATTAACGTACGCACAGAAGTACCCACCCATCTCTCTCTATGTATCTCGTAGGTTTGAATAAACACCAAATGAGCCTAGTAAAATGGAACGACATTTACGTAATGTCTATGTTATAGGAGTTTACAGGAGCCGGTTTTTTTTTTTTGTCCCTTTTTTGTTTTTTTTTTCAATCAAAAGAACCATTGTACTATGGATTAATTAATTATATGGTTTATTGATTAATTTGTAAAGTATTCGGACAAATATTTCCGAGTTGGTCTATAACAAAAAACTGCATCAATTGTTGATTGATTTTGTTTTTGAAGATTGACAATTACCCTTACATGTATTTGATATTTGGGTAAAAAGTCGTAAGGACAGAATTATAAGTGTGTTTATCAATAGCAGGCCCTTGAAGTGATTAAAAGTGTATGTTGCGGATAAAAAAAAGTACAACCCTTTAGACACATTAGACAGGAAACTGTTAAACAGCGGTGATGCGAAGCCATCTTTTCAAGCAAATATTTACGGCGGATCAGTTTGGGTCAACCCCAGAAAGGAAAGTGGTAACAGGGTAGGTATACCCTACACCACGCGCAATTGCTGCAATTTTAAACTCCGTGTATGATAAAACTGAAAGATAGCAGAAATGTGATGACGAACATAACACTTTTGAAATTCAGAATGAAGCCCGATTGGTTAATAGTTAGACACCACCCAAAAGGTCATTATCAAATGAACATGCTCTAGCATATTAAATAAGTTGAGAAATATACATTCCATAAGGTTATGTTTACAGATAACGCAACTAACTAAAAACTCTCGAAGCTCACCATCCCGAAATTCTATGTAAAAACAATGCTTTTCGATATCTAATTTATATGTGAATGATTCATTTACAAATAAAGAGAAAACAAAAGGAAACAGATAAATTAATGCTCTTTGTATGCCTACGCAATTCTCACATCCAGTTTATGTAATTTCCGATGATATCCCCTTGTTTGATAGAGATTATGAAAAAAAAAAAGAAAAATAGAAAATGACATCGATTAAAAACTAAAATATTTGGGCACAACCTACGCCTATCATAGCCATAGCTTATAAATAATAAATAACAAGCGGAAGTTTATTCTTAGTGGAACTCTTTGTTGTAAAAAACCAATTATTTTGTAAAGTAGAAGAAAGAGACAGATTCGGTTATTTCTGCCACAAGTATCTCAGATATGTGAGAATAACACATTCAACAAGGTAATTTGGTTTTACTGGAAGACAAATGCCAGTTTGTTATTGCGACACGTTCCCGTTATAGACCGAATTTCAAGCTATTGTATTAGAACTAACCGGCGCTAACTGGTACTGGAAATGATTTTACCAATGTCAAAAATACTACGGATTAATGAAGACATCTTCGCTCTGTTTACATCCGAAGTAGGCTTAATCTAATCGTCCATCTTTGTTTTTTTTAACAGTGCATTAATCATTTTACTAAATAATATCGTAATACTCAATGCAGATTAGAAGGGATTCTCTAAACATACTCCCTTTCGAGTCCACAGGAACGATTCATATGGTGAAGAAAGGTCCAGCGTTTAAAATAAAGATATAACGTCGAACGAGTGGACCGAGAAGACACTGGGAAATCATATCAACGTTCCTTTTAATGTTGCTGTGGTAAATTAGATTTCATTCACCAGATTCAAGAAGCTTTTCCATATTCATACTGCTTTCATTATCTTTTTTTTAACACTTATGCACAGTGTATTTTAGAATTGTTAACACAGGTATTAAACCCCAAAAAATTCCGCACGGCGCACGCCAGAATTCGAACCCGATACAATATTGTTTTGGATATGTGCTGGTATTCGTTTGTTTCCTAAGAAAGTTCATCTCTAAGGCTCCAATGGCGGCAGTGATATATTTGACGTAGCTGTTATCACATCTGGGAGACATGTAGAAGCGGAATACATTTATGTAATGTCACTTGTGTAACACAAATCATGGACCTAAAGAAACATGAAAGTTTCCATGCAATATATCTTGTCAATAATTCTAAGTGAAATTAAAATTACCTTTATATTTTGCCAATAATTATATCCGTCATCAAAAGTATTCAATTTCCTGTTCTCTTTATCATGTTCATTTATTTTAGTTTATAGTCGTCTCAGTGGGCTGTACTATAACATACAGAAAAGCCCTGAAAAATATCGAAGAACTCCGAAAAGTACCGAAAAATGGAACACCGATCCCCCCCCCCCCAAAAAAAAAAAAAAATCACCGTAAAATACCGAAAAACGTTTTTGATACTATATAATTACAGAAAAAAATCTGATAAACCTTTAATACCGAAAATCCCTAAATACCGAAAACCCCCAACACTAATTACCAAAAAAAAACCTAGACCACACATAAACATTATTAGTTGGGTCACGCGTGAGAAAATGGTTCACACATTAGGTGGGTAATGGGTCACGCTAGGCCAATCATAAATACAGTGGGACACTCTAGGTTGGTCATGGGTCACAATAGGTCCTGCATAAGGCTTGTGAGGCGCTGTAGGTGGGGTATGCGTCAGGCTAGGAGGCCATTTATAAAAATCGGCGGGCACTCTAGTTGGATCATGGGTTAGGGTTTTTCAGATGATAATTTCTCCCGTTTACAGCATTCAGCATGAACTAGTTATATAACACTCCGATGCAGGGTGTAAGCATTCTTCGGCGGCTTCTGTGTTTTTAGTTTTTAGTGTTCAGCATTCAACCGACCGTCCTCTAGGGGATTACAAGAGTTAGAGTTTCAGATTTAACTAGTTGTAATCTACTCACCTAGTAATTATCCATCATAGTTGAAAGTAAAGCCAACATTAAAGAAAAATAACCTACCTTTCCCCATGCCGGAAGTAGATCTTCAATATGTGTACATGTGCAATGAAACCTACCTTTCCCCATGCCGGAAGTAGATCTTCAATATGTGTACATGTGCAATGAAACCAACGTTTACATGTATTACAGTGAATGCAGTCCTGATCCCATGTAGAGCAAGGTCTTTTACCAGGAATAGTCTGAAACTTATTTGCTGAACTTTTAGGCTGCCCTGACTTTCCTCTCCTTTTCTTTGTTACTTTCAAACGTGGATTATTGACGGTCGGTTAAATGCTGAACACCAGAACACCGAAAGCTAAAAGATCAAAAGCTGCATTGGGATATTTTATAACTAGTTCATAAAGAAAATTCCGTGCTGAATGGTGTAAACGGGGAAGAAATTGCCGCCTGAACAAAACCTAGAGTGCCTCACAGTTTTTATAAGTGGCCTAGGCTGACCCATGACACACCTACAGTTCCCATAAGTCTTTTGCATGACCTGTCGTGATCCATGACCAACCTAGAGGATCTCACTATATTTATGTGTGGACTAGCATGACCTATACTCACCTAGAGTGTCTACCATTTTCATAGGGTTTTTTCGTTTAATTCATGTTTTTTTTTCGGTATTTAGTGACTTTTCTGTTTTTAGTTTTTTTCGGTAATTAATAATATTAAAAAGATTTTTATTTTTCGGTGTTTTTTGGGGATATTTTTCGGCACTTTTCGGAGTTTTTTCTGTATTTTTGGAATTTGTTTTTTTTTCTGTATATATTATAGTCGGTCTCAGTTTTACTATTTAGTACTGGACACAGACTGATTTAGCTTAACATGGAATTAGATAACTTTAAGACCATCCGAAAATCAAGGACACATTTAGTTTTCATAGCAATAGCCCCGTTCAGAATCATACTTTCAGCCATGACAATCTACAGTGTAAACCAAACCAGTAAAGAATGAGCGCTTTGTTAAAATTCTAACCAGCCCTTAGTTTATTAATAATAAATCAAACTCCATAATTGTCCTACCGTGATCTTCAAATATTAAGGAGATGTACCATGATTTTAGTAATTAAATTTTAATTTCGGCCCATAAATTTGAAGCCTTAATTTGCTTACACACAAAGAAGTCACTGAAAGAGATAGGCCTATACTGTACGTAAGGAAGATGACTATTTTGACGTCTGTAGATGTTTTTTGAATGACAAACCTCATGTTTCTTTGAGAATCAAGCGCCCCATTTGGCGCAAACAAGAAGTCAACCAACTGACCGAATTTATCTACAAGTACACCTGTCTCATATTTAAGATGACGCATTTGAGACAAATATATATAACCATATAGTATTTTTTCTCGATTGTTAATCAAAGTTCACACCCTGGATTGTTTTATCAATAAATGGTGGCCATTTTGAAAATGGCAGTGGAATAGGACCCCATTGCACAGTCACTCCTCCCATCTTAATCCAAACCAATTCAAGTTGTAAATGAATAAAGCTAAAGCCCGAGAAGAATTTATGAGAAACATACCAAAGTCGTAGAACAGTAAGTCGAACCATGACGGCATGACCAAGCACCGAACTGCTCCGAATTTGAAATTATTATTTTTCGTGAATTTCTCTATATATTCAAGGTCACTATACTAGTGTGTAAACTTTCTGTAGGTTTATGAAAGAACATTCGCCAGTTTCTGACCACACAAAGGAGCACTTTCAATATAGTATATTGAAAATCATGTATTGTGAAAAGTTTCAACCGGCGTAAGATATGTATTAAGTTCCGAAAGGAAATGTCTGTCACGAAAGGTAAAAGGTTGCGTTTGTTTTGTCTAATTTTCTGCTGTGTCGCACAACAACCGTGTAATACTACTAGTCACTGAAAAAATAATGATACTATTTCATGGGAATATCGAACCGTTCACAACATGAATGAATCGATCGATATCCGAGTGGCCAATTCAAAGCCAATATCTGTGTTCGAAACAGTTCAGCGAAGACTTGGTAACAAGGATCACCTCTGACGTGACGCCCTGAAGTCAGTAAGTTGACTGGTCATTTTCTTTAATTGGTTATCAATAATTCCGTTTATTTTATTTAAAATAATCAACATGTGGGAAAAGTCAAGAGCGCATCACTCGGTACTATAAACACTTTATCGGGCGGCGATCATCGATTTTTCCCGTGTTCCGTTTTTTTTATTGATATCGGCACCCCTGTGACATTTAATGGATAACTCGATTAATTTGTTTATCAAACACCACTTCGATACTTATTCATTATATTAGTCTTTGATGGGTGTCGATTACAAGGCTCAGGAAAAAAAATAATATCTGCAATTACGAAATATCGGTTTTTGCCGCCGGAAACTGAAGCAGACGACTGTGTAATTCTCAGAGGTGGTATACGCGCTAGTGTTTTATTATGAGATCAGTTATGAGGCCGAGTTAAGGTTAATAATATCGTGATTTATTGTATATGCCTTTCTAAACTTTGAACAGTTTATCATATATAAACTTGTTAGAAATTATGATTTCCAAAGCTTGGTAACAGCTTGTTCACGTCTAAAATGGGATAAAAGAAAATTTATAGATTTTTAGACGTGTATAATGTTAGCTATTGTTACTAAAGACAGTATTTTCACAGTCAAATAGAAATATGAATTCATATTAATAACTTAACACAGCGAATCTTTACAGTACAATGTTTAAGTGTTATATGGGTGTAGATTATTAGTAATTAAAATGTAATTTTTACTCTTTTTTTCAGATGCTGAGCCTCATTGATCTTGTTTCTTGTTGAAATATTATGTCATCTAACGGGTCATCACTATACTCTTCCAGATAATGTCAGACAACCAGTAAATGACTGAATTGAGAAAAGGAAAATACGAAATCAAATAACAATTGACTTGATTTTCGCTAATCCGGACCACCAATGGAGTTGTATCGACGTTTTGTATTCAGTATTCTACAGATTTGTATCGAAAAGATGTGCGTGCTTAGACCCATTCCATATTTGCGACAGCTTGATTTGAATTGACTCCAGTGTAATATTCAATTTAAGCATATGGTCTTCTAAACAGTATTGGTATCTATAGCTAAATTGAATAGACGTCGCTCTTTGACAGATTTTATCGGTGTATTAAAGGTCCAAAATGTAGGACTATAATTTAGTGATAGGGGTTTAATGATAAAATAGGATAATCTTATTATCAAAAAATAATTAAACGCCATCATCTCATATTCCAAATATCTGTTACAAAGCTGACTGTTTAAGCTGGATAATAGTAATACGGTAACGTCGCCCACTCAGAATAAGACATTAGTTCTTTAGCATACAGTTTATATCCGGAATGGAGATCGAAAGCCTCCAGTTGTTCTGTCGTGTTTAATTGAAATGTTTTATATACTGCACACAGAAGAACACAGAGTAGTTGATTGTGAAATGTGATTAGCTTCGGTGACAAGAAACTTGTCAATAACTTATAGAATTTCCGTTAATTCTATCGCCTTAATAGTTTCGCTAAGCATTGTTGAAATCTTTATATCCGATATATATTGACACTCGAATGAAAACACTCATTTGATTTGGAAAACACTGTATTATTGAAAATGATGTCTTTGATATAGTCATACTGAATAATTTCCTTTTCTTACAAGGTTTGTGGATGCCGTTTATTATTGAATGTCGTTTATGATTCATTCGTGATCAAATGGATATGTGGGTCATGCTAATAGATAAACATGTTACATCCCCAGTGTTGATACTGAACGAAGAATGTGTTATAATGCTGGACGGTCAGGCGCTGGAGAGTTTTTCACGGTAACAATTAGCAGCCAGAGATAAATTCTCGCTGATTGAGAAATTTTTCCCAATTTTTGTCCATATCATAAAGTTAGAATTTGTTCAATATTGAATCGAAGTATTTTTTTTGTATTTTAGTAACTTGCTTAGGAAACATTGAAACTAAAGACTTTGAAAACACCTCTAATTATACGGTTTTCAATTAAAGTAGACTGTACGGTAAACCGTTATTCACCATGAAACCTTTTGATCTGTGGGTATCGGTTTCAGAATCGCTAACCACAGTTGAAGAATGTGGAATTGTAGGCTAGAATCCAATTAATTATCTAGTACGTTAATTTAAAAAAGTAACTATAGATCTTTTAGAGTCGCTTCCCGAAGAACTGCCGTATTAACGGACTACATTATGAATTGAATACAACCTAGTTTATTTTGTAGTCCGCATTGCTAGACGATTAAAACGAAATTATATATTTTGAAAATGTTATGGATTCAGGACTACAATAATTGTTTATCGCTGTGATTATTTTAAAAAAATAAACAACATGAAGCCCTCATATCTGATAGTGCTTTATGTGGCCAGTATCAGTTACAGCCTTGCTAGAGATTGCCGTTATTGTGGAAATGTTAGCTGTGTTTGTATAATTGATGAAAGACACAACATACACTTATCATGGATCATTGAAGACACCATTACTTCCGTTCCACGACTTGCTTCACCTGACATCATGGCTAATGTCACATCAATGTAAGTTCAATTATATATTTGCAGCTATTATTAAGTATTCTCTTCCAGCTCCAGTCAGAACACTGTGTCAGTCTAGGAAGCTTAAAACCAACATTGTCATTATCGCATCATCTTTTTATGGTTTAGATTCATTTAAAAGACAGTCCATGGTGGCCTTAATGATTACTCTCTCTCAATTAGTTTTGAATGTCAGTGACGGAAGTGAAATGAAATGAGGTTTAACGTCCCAATGTTTTGCCCCATACAGTGTGTTATGAGGAAAGGCCTACTTTTATATCGAATTTGACGTGGCAGGGGATCTTTTACGTGCACGCCACTGCACAAACCACTAGGCAGGTGTCCTTGCCAGGCCCTCCGTCCTGCACCACTGAAAAGGCAATCTGATTAAAATACAGATCTATATTTCGTTTCGTTTTTTTATACTTTCGATGGTCTACACTACATGAAGATCTGACAAGTTGTACTTGAAGGTCGTACCAGGGGTCGTACGAGCGTCTTTTGGCCCTATGACGTCAGACATTGATTAATCAATCAGCGTTGACGTTTCTAGTGGTTTACCCAAAGTTCCGTGCATGGAACGCCAAGAAGTCACCGTAACAGACCGTTTCATTGGCTTATCCCTCACTCCAACCTAAACGCCGGTAATATAACAACTCTTCCAGATCCTAGTATAGTAAAGACAAGTAAAAGAAAATTTTGAACTATACAAAACGAAACGAAATAGGATCTGTGTTTTAATCAGATTGCTGAAAAGGGGAAAACCATGCCGGAAATTTCCTGCCAACACCGGGATCGAACCGGTGACCCCCAGGCTATGTATATACAGGGCATTTTGTATAATCAATAAAGTATTTTGTTTAAGAAATATACGCCAGCAGTATATCGACCAATCCAAAAGGTCGATTCAAGCTGGGGTTCCCTAAACACGGCTTTGAAATGTGGTGGTATCAGTCGTTTTAAACTGCTTGTGACCACTACATTTATTATGCGATCTTTTAAAATTGTGTTTATAAATATATCATTTAAATTAGTGAGACTAAATGTCACCCGTAACCCCAGACGTATTTGATATCTGGCGATCTGTTTGAAAGCTATATATGCATTATTTATATTAGTGAGAGACAAGGGTCTGTCGAATTTCAACATATGCCACTAATCATTTCTAGAGTAATGGCCCTTCTTAACTCTGCAAAATCTTGTGTGCGTGCCAGCGACAAAAGGCATCATTCGTTTTGCTTGAATTTTTTTTATGTATTGTTCAGATAAGTGAAATGCAGAAACCTAACTTATTGCCCTTTCCCACATTGTAGAAACTAGCGAAAGTCACCACAATGGTCTACTTTAAATTTGTTTCTGTTACTGAGATGATTAGCAATTACAACAATTTCTGATAATTACTTACATAGCTATTGCTCTTTATAATCAAAGTGCCGGTGATTTTATACATTATTAAAGTTTTCTTTTTTATTTACCTAAAAGTTCACAATGCGACAATGTTAAATGTTGACGTCGATTTTACAATTTATTCCTAATATTCAATTTATCAGAGATGTAATTAACATGAATTAACATGAAGTTTGTGGAAATAAGTACAAATTTGTTATGTAAGTTTTATTTTGATTATGCATTATGTAAGATTTAGATAAAGAGCTATAATAGTTTAAAAATGGATAATGAAAAAGAAATATTATGGAAATTTCAGTCAATTTACTTCATTCTGATCAAAGTTGTGACTGTATGATGGATAGCTTAGTCTCGATCTTCATTAGTACCGTTGTTATCATACTAAACAAATCTCGATTATCCATTTTTAAATTAAATTATTAAATGGCGATCGTGTTTCAATCTGTGCAAAATCATAACCATTATGGGTTTGTCATGTGAATAAATGTCTAATTAATAATGTATAACAACTGAGGCTAAAATAAAGATCTGCAATAGGCAGAATTAGCTTTTAAATAATGCAGCTTCAAGACAAGGAACGTAGGCCATATTTAATTCAAGGGTTTTAATTGATTTTAAATGTGTATTGCAAACACATGCATAAATCTGACATTAGCAACCTCTTAATCTTCCACAAATACACCATATCTGTAAATTTTGAAGTGAGCAACCAGACGTATGCCGGTTTTTAAACACGAACAATTTACATAGTTTAATTCTATTGAATTGAGCGGAGTAGATTACATGTGTTATTTCCATTGATGACAGGGCTGTCAAACCGATAAAGCATCGGGATGGCCTAGTATATGTTATTTAATATTAAAGTACAATCCCTTGAACAACATCGGTCACAGCTTATAACTTAACTAATTGGAACATGCTCGGACTTAAGAAGAATTAAAAATTGTTTCTGTAATTAATTATTTAATTGGGATGTCGTCCACTGGATTTTGTAATTTAACTATACCTAAGTATCGATTATTCTTGTCTTTTTAACGTATCATCAAACCATTGCTGTGGTCAATTTCGAACAATCAATGTAATCATTGTTGATCAATTGGTACTATTACTTTGATTCTTCGTAATCCCCTTTATTTTTTCAACTCATATTAAGAAACGACCAATTTCTCCCGATTTATAAGATGTATATAGCTGCGGTTACAAAATATTACTATCAAAATGAAAAGATTTGCCAGTGAACAACTCGAAGAAATCTATATTTTAGACCGGTGTAACAGTACTATCTGAAGCTTGGTAATACCTTTTCGAAGTAATACAAGCTTTGAAATCTGGGACTCTCCCCTTTGGCGTAGCGTCTTTGATTGTTGGTGCTACCTGGGTGTATTTTTAGAGGAGACATAGTGGGACGTTAAACCCCATTTCATTTCATTTCGCGTGCGAATTTATGTGCACGAGATACCGTTTCCTTTTTTTTTTTTACATCAGCCGTTCATGTAACTAATATTTCCTTATTATGTACCGTTATTTTTATTCCGTCGTCATTAATAGGACGGTAAACCCCATCGCATATTATTTCTTACAATTCTCTGTAAAATCTAATATAAGGTAAGAGAACTGTTTATCGGTATTTGATAAACAGAAAAGAACTTCCAATAACTAAATTGTAGCCGCGGAATTGGTGCACAAGTGATATTGATATAACTCTTGTATTTATTGACAATCGGAAGCTTACTGTACGCTAAGATACTTTATCCAATATAACTGATCTTCACAATTCTGAAGATTGATGTTTTCAATACCATAAAATCTTTGTTTAAATTTTTGTCGGTTTTCTTTAAAACATCTGATACTGAACGAACAAGTATTGCAGTGGTCGAGTTCTTAAATACTTAAAGATACATTATGTAAGAGCTAAATCTGCGTAATGCAGATCTTTAGTTTGGCCTCAAATGTTGTATAAATCATTAACATGCCAAACCCATATTGAACTCTCTGAAATATCGGATGTTTTTGATTTTCAACGGATTTAAACACGACTGCCACGATTAATAATTCAATTAAAAATTGATAATCGAGACTTTGTTTATTATCGTAACAACGGTAGCAATGACAATCGAGACTACACTGTTTTTCAAACGGTAATAACTCCGCTCAGAATGGAGTAATTTGAATGAAATTTCAACATATTCCTTTCATTACCTATTTTTTAAAATTATTATAGTGAGAGCCGCCAGCTCTTTATCTAAATCTTACATAATCCATCTTTAACAATCGATTGAAAATACAATATTAAAATTGTTGGGGAAAATACATTTGATACCATAAACATTAAAACATCTACAAATCTTAACGCCATTGTTTGGGAATGTGAATGGGGGCAGTGGGAGCAAATGGTTTCTTATTTAAGTGACTTCTCGTGTTTTCATTTCAAAACTTGTATGTGACAAGTAGTAAGGTCGCCTGACTAAACTCGTGGGTTTTTCTCCGGTTTCTCCCACGGCTAAAGACCACTACGCACAAGCGAATTATCGAAATAAAACTGTTCCATACCTTAGTGAAGTAATGGCCTAGTTTTTGTTGAGTGGATTTTACCCCCTTCTTCTGGCCATTATACATGTATAAATGTAATTGTATGTCGCCTAGGTGACGTGTGCCATAATACTCGAAAGACCATATCGTTAACACAATTGCATGTACATTAATGGTCTTTCTAGACGATGAAATCAATGTCTTATAAACGATCAAAAAGCGGAAAATACAGGTAACGATTGCCGTGTTCACGAATAACTTAGGAACCTAAATTATAGCTTAATGTATTATTTATTTTAAAAAATGACCCTCTATAGGCCAATAAACTGAATGCAGATTCGAACAATGCACTTTGCATTTCTGAGCTCTAGTTCCTTTGAATCGAAAGTAGTACTGTTTACCATAACTGCATAATTTGAGTAATGCTACATTCAAATGTAATTGATTTAATATATATTAACACAATTTTATACTATAATTCCAACAGTCAATTAGAACGTTCACACGGCAGCTGGTTCACATTACACAATAGGTTATATAACTTTAAACGGCGTATGGCCTTATTTTGTGGAACCTTAAAGTAGACGAAATAGGTTTAAAAGCACATTAATGCAATATGAATGTATATATTCATTTTTTTTTTTTAAATTATTGTAATTTCTATTCAATTATGTTTGGTGAAATATGTGAACACTCACGGCAAGATAACAACGTCACTATTGATTGTAATGGACTAATATTGAATTTTAATTCGTGCTATTAAATTCCAATATTATGAAAAATATTGAGTTAGAGGTTTAGGTCCTTAAAAAAAACTTATGATATTAACTAACAAACTATTGAAATTTATCTCTCAATCATTTAAGTTGAGGTATATGTCAAAGGCTGACTGTTTTAAAATATCTATTTGTTTAGAAACTGATTCAAATATACTATTTTTTTATAATTTAGATTCGACAATTCAATAGATGAAAAGGCAAGTACTTTGAGATATAAAAACGTAATAATATACTATGGTTATCAAATTTTTAATTCAAATTTAGGTTTACTTAGGTTCACTAGGACCG